GCTCTTTTTGGCATCAAGACAATTATTCTTATTGCAAAATTGCCAGACAGGACTGTTTATAAAAAAGAAATGAAAAAAGATGGACAAAGGTTTATAAATTGAGCCCCATAGTTGAAAGAACGGTATACAAAATCAAACACATTATATACATGAATTCATGCTAAAATTTAGTAAACCTTTTATTTTATTTTCCAAACACTGTAAGCATTAAACAAAATATACTTTATACGTACTATCTCATATGTTTAGTGTTCATATTGATTGGCTGATAGGCTTGATATCAACAAAACCAATATTTTCTTTTTTATTCAAACCTTTTCATTAAGAACATTACATCTTAGGTAAAATTGTGTCAAAAGAAAAAAAATCATGAATGCTTTCAGCCTGAGATCTATCACAGGAGAGCCAGAGATGCACAAAGAAAACAAATTCTGCAGTGCAATTGGTTATTAGGTCACACCCTGGAGCAGCTGTACAAACAGTGCAGTTAACTGGCTCTGATCTCAGCAGGATGAATTAAACAAAGTTTCTCCATTTATTTGGTTTTAGTTTCCTCTTGTAGTGGATAGTTCAAGCTCAGTGCAAAGAATGTTCCCCCCCCACCAAAGAGCTCCACCTGGTGGTCGTGCCGCCTCTGAACACATTTACAGCAGACCTGAAGATTGCCCTGAAAAATCTCACTTTAAGGCCACTTTCTGATTTTTTTTTTTTTTCCCTGGTAAAAAAGAAGTAATTCAATAAAGATTTAAGCTACTTCAGTCCAACTTTCCACCCATTTGATAAATTGCTGAATAATGATGAGGTTAATGAAACAATTTTGCCATTTTGAGAAAAAATACCCCCTATTATAAACATTTCAGTATCCATTATATCCCTTAATGAAATAAACAAAAAACACCTCTGGAAATAAGTGCCTTTTTATTTTAAACAATCCTGAAGCTGTTGCTGTCATTAACACTTGGCCTTCTTGCCATAGCGGTCCACCACTTCAGGCTGAACACTCTCATCCTCCTCCACCTCCTCCTTCACAGTCTTCCCAACCAGCTGGAAGATGTCCTCTGCCGGGACACCCATCGGCTCAGCCACCTTCACCCCCAACATGTCCAGAGTCAGGACTGTTCCTTTGGGGATCTTCACCTTCGCCACCACAGATTTGCCAAGCTAGAGCAAAAGCAATGACAGGGAGAATGGTTACTATAGGTAGTGAGATTAGATATTCCATCTAGGGGGAAAGTTTCACTAACTTTGTCATGGCAGGCCTTCTCACAGGGCAACATCTGCTTGATGCCATTTCCCAGTGCCCTCTCCATCAGACGAACAGAGCGGACCAGCTCAGCCAGTTCAGACGGTATCAACGAGGCCTCATGGTCGCTTCCTTTCCAAAACTTGTCCAAGGTTATGTGACGCTCCAGGACCTTCGCTCCCAGAGCTACGGCTCCCACAGAAATAGTGATTCCAGACTCGTGACCTGAATACCCGATTGGAATATCAGGAAACTCTTTCTGGTATTCCTGCAGGGATAAGAACAAATACATTACTATCCTAGAAGACTGCTGATAACATTGATAGAGTCTTCCTTTTCTGGTGTATGTCCTGCTTGAAAGTGTGTTCATGCCTCAGCAACTTCCTCACTTTCTTTCAGGTTAGAAGCATGAACGTAAATCCGTTTTACTGGCATAAAGCAGTTAAAGGATGCATGGTAATTCTGGAGGGGCGGCAGCGCTCGGGTGAGAGAAGATGTCAACCATCATCCATGCATTCCACAAGTCTGGCCTCCTTTGAAGACTGGCACAAGGAAAGTCATAGACGGTCCAAAATAAAGTTGGCATCACACAAAAAAGAAACATGGTGATGCTCGCATCATTAAATAATTTTTCTTTAGCTGTTGAAAGAGAGGCTATCCTAAACTCCCAGCAAGTCAGGGACCCTTATCTATCTATCCAATATTTGAACTAATGTCTGGCATCTTCAGATTCTCTTCTGTTAAAGTCATTGAGCTGAAGCTGCTTTGCAAACAAGAAGGGTCAAAAATGTCCGTCTTCAGATCCGCAAAGCTGGTGGATGCAAAACCTACAAGACCTGCAGCTGTAACTGCAAAAGACTGTATAAAGTATTGACATTATGTGGCCAAGTAAAATTAAAGAAATTTTAAAAAAGCATACCAAATTTATTAGATTTTAGTCCACAAAATGAAAACCAAACCAGACCTTACACTTAACAGATTTATGCTGTTGGATCACCGAATCGTAAAAACAACAGCATAAAACACATTTGTAACCATAGACATGCATACGTTGACACCCATTTGTGTGCTGGCTTGAACACAGAGATCTGGAGTCAACAAGTAATCTCTATGTCATTTATTTGTTCTGCCCAGCTGCAGGTGAGTCCAATCACTAGTCAATTTACCAGTGTGTAGATTGGACGCACCTGGTTCAGTGGCTGGGAAGGTCAATACACGACATCGAGTTGACTTGTTCACTCCAGATCCCTCATCTCTGCGTGAAAGTCACCACCATCTCTGTTATGTTCTAATCTACATACTAGAGTTATATACTCTGGATAAAGCTTTAAGAAAGCAGTGGGAAATAGCAGTGAGAAGAAAAGGGTTAATTAATTTACGCTGGTGAAAGTTCTCAGGATCGGAAGCAAAACGTCTTCAAACTTGGAAACAAAGTCCAGTGGATCGTATTTAATTTTCTTTTTTGGAATTAATTTAATCTAAACATTTCTAGTCTTTAACTTTTTTTAAAATGTCATTTGTGAACATTTCAACAGCTGGTATAGACACCGATCTATGTTGGAGTTTTGAGGACATATTACTTCTAGGGTATAAGGGGGTTAAATTACTAATATTACAAGAATAGTCAGGAGAATAGAGTAAAAATCTAATGAGATGAAAGTGGTAATATTGCAAGAATGAAGTGGTTATATTACGAGAAAAACATGAGAATAAAGTCAGAAGTTTAGGAGAAAAGTCACACAGTCTACTGCGGAACCATTTCGGAGTCCTGAAATGGTAATAATGGGAAAACAACAGGACAATAAACTAATGAACTACAAAAATACATGTTTTCTATTATGAACATAAAATATATGAGATTAAAGTCCGTCTAATACCGAGTGTCTGAGTGTACATCCAAAATGGCGGACGCCTTAACTTATCCCAGCATCAGGCCAACCCACCCAAAGAGGCGTCTATGTATTCACATCTATGGTTGCAATGACGACATGTGGAAACGATCATGTTTTAACTCGTTTAAGCTGGAAAAAAAAAAAAAATAGTTTAAATAAGCAATTCACCGCGATCACTTTGAGGTTGACATCTTCAGCCTCCAGAGGATACGCACTGGTGCACTGAAGGATGGCAAAGTTTTTATTGTGCTGTTTCACAGTCTTGTAGACCTGACGCATCGTCTCCATAGTCTGCATCCCGCTGGACACCACCATGGGACGGCCTGAGACAAAGACAAAAGGAACATCATGACGGATAGAATATCCAGGAGAGTTTATGTTGCCGGGCAGTTTAGATCCAGACATTTGATTTCCCCCAAAATATGGAGCAATAATCCAAACTATATTATAAATCTGCTAATAAAACAGAAGAACTCCTCTTTGTTGCCTAGATGACTGCAGAGAAGCTTCCGATTACGCTCTAGTTTGCTAATAAGAAGCCTGAGGTTATTGTAATCCTTTATATTAAGTCTGCATCATCTTATATTTAACAAGATGATGAACGTATGGAAAAAACAAACAAATCAAACCAGAGCTGTTCTGGTGATGAGAGGGATTCCACAGACAGAATCTCACCTCAATGCAGCCTCTGCAGCCCACCCAGTCAAAGCTAGTCTTTCATTAAAAGGCACATATCACCCCACAAATCTTGTCTTTTAGAAATTAAGCCATCGAATTAACATTGCTCCAGTGTTTTTTTTGTTGTTTTTTTCCATTTTAGCTAGTTTGCTTTCTTCCACCTGGATACTGTGCACACACTGCCAGGACCAACTGCTCTAAATGTGTCTCTGACACAGTGTAAATGTTTGTCTTTCTTTATTAAAAACACACCCAAAGCCACAACCTGAAACAAGTCACAAGCAGTACTTTGGTCTCACCCTTCTTGGCTGTTTTCTCCAGATAAGGAAAGTTGTTGGTGTCTCCGGATCCCACTTTGAAAAAAGGCACATTGAGCTCATGGAGAAATTCCACTGCCATCTACGGGAAGTAAGCGAGGACTGTACTTAATTCACTGAGCTGATTAAATCATTGAGAAACTCTGAATCAGAGCCCGTCTTACCTCGTCCATCCCTGAGGCTGTGAAGAAGATCCCCACCTCCTCTGCGTATTTCTGCAGCTCCCTGTACTGATCGTGGTTGAACTCCAAGTGGCGCTTGTGCTCACCATAGGTTTTTCCCCAGGAGTGTTTGGAGGTGTATGGACGCTCCAAGGCTCTCTTGTTGAATTTGTACTCCAGCTCACTCTTCTGGAATTTGGCACAATCAGCACCGCAGTCCTGTGGAGGAAAATATGTGCATTCGAAATACATTAGATATAAATAAAAAATATATATATATAAATAGTAATAGTTAGTGTGCTTCAACCCAGGGTTATGAAAGTAGGACAATGACATACTTTTTATAAACACTAAAATAATCCTAAAAGCTAAAATTAGAGAAAACTATTAACACTATAATGAACATTTATATATATATATTAGGGCTGCAACTAAGGATTATTTTGCTAATTGATTCATCTGTAGATTATTTTTTCCAAATAATCGGTTCCTTAAAAGATATTTTACTGAATTAAACCAGGTGAAATGAAAACTTTTCAACTTGTGGAGTTTTAGATATATCATATTGACAGGAGAAAAAGTTGTTCTTTTTATTTCAAATGCAAAATATTTATATTTTCTTCAAAATGTTGGTACAATTACTGTTTTAAGTGGTTCACTCTCAGTTATAGGCATGTTTCAGAGTTTCTATACTCCAGTTAATGATTAATAGGTTACCAAATTAGTTTACCATTATTTCAATAATTGATTAATCACGATTAATCCAATTAATTGTTTGAGCCCAGACAGACAGACAGACAGATACTGTAGATAGTTCATGACTCATTGATTAATTGTATCCCTGTGCTCAAAGGAAGATGGAATAAAGAGAAATCCTTCCGTGTTTTCCTTCCCTTGTTTATTGTTCCTCTTTAAAAAGAAAAAGTTCTATCAGAGAAACCACACAAAGACAAAAGGTTAACCTGAAACTGGTTAACCTGGTTAACCTAGTGACGCGTAACACTTAAACTGGTTCGTTTGGATCAACGGACCAGTCAACTGCACCCAGTCTGAATAATGAATTACGTTTGCTGTGAGTAATGATAAAAACTTACCGGATTGTTTGGCATGATAAGTAATTAGTGCTGCTAAATGCATTTCGACCAAATGTATCTGTTAATTAAACAGTGTTTTATATGCACCTAAACTTTGCCCCATTTTTATTAATAAAACAGTAAAAACTGAGGCGTGGGGAAACTGATATTAATATACCACGAAGCCACATAAATAAACCAAAGTTTCATTCACCTTTGCCATTTTAATCATTTTCTTGGCTATCTCGATGTCTCCCTGGTGGTTCTGTCCAATCTCAGCTATGATGAAGCATGGATGGTTCCCTCCGATCATCCGGCCGGGGCACAGCTCAAACTCCAGAGGCATCTTGGTGGCAGAGGAAGGACTAGTGTGACCAAAAGAAGAGGTTTTCGAAGAAAAAAATTACTGAAGAAAGCGGTTTCAGTTGGGATATCAGACTAACCGGACTGAATGAATGCAGGAACTACTTCCGCCTTTGGAGACAGACGTGTTCCACGTAGCAACCGGAACTACTTCAAAATAAAAGCATCGCCATTCAGGACACAAGAAAAAATTATTGGAATGATGGAAAGCAGAACTGCGGAAGGGAATATGAACAATTTATTGGTCAGCCTGAAATATGTAATTCCCCATGGCCTAGAAAGGTGGCGCAAGTGCAGCGTATAAAAAACTTAGTATTGGAACATGTAGTATGTAGTGTAGTATTAACACAGTTGTGTACGCCTGTAATATGAGTGTTTAATAGATAAAGCCTGTTCTCTTCAAGTACCTGTGTGTTTATTGAAGAACCCACAACACAAATGAAGCACTCATCTCCTTACATTTGTTTTGTTCCAGTTATATTAAATCACAAAAAATGTGAATATCTTCATCTCTTCTCAACTTAAAAAAAAATAAATAAAAAAAATAACCCCTTTATTTTTCTCTTAAGGCACGCTGTATATAACCATAATAACCATAAATATTGCTCCTATATATATATATATATATATATATATATATATATATATATATATATATATATATATATATATATATATATATTTTTAGCACTTTTTAAATTTATATGTTTATGTATGTATACATATGTAAGTGTATATATACATATACATTCATTAACTTTACAATTGGCACTATATATATATATATATATATATATATATATATATATATATATATATATATATCTGGGGGGAGGAAAGAAAATAATTCAGAAAAATGCAGGCCAAGAAAGCATTATCCCATGAAACTCTCCATTGTTGAGGCCATCTATAAAGGAAGAATTGAAAGTTGGAAACAAATAAACATTAAACCGTTTTTATTACATGAAGTCGAGTTTAAAAGCTCTTGAGTGACCAGTGGACTTACCGTCTCCAATTAATGTTAAATAAAGCTGACAACAAATGAAAGATTAATTAGCATTAGCTAAGACCACGTTCACCAAACCCAAAAAGTCAAATTACTATTTAAATAACCCCAAGCATTTATAATGTAGCTTGTAATATCTTATCTATATCTTCAGAAATGCCATAAAACACTACTTTTATCAAGTGTTATATAGGTTAAAAATTATGCAGAAAACACACTTTAGTGAGTCACAATGCCATAAAATACATACACTGAAGAGGCATTTGATGCAGGTTTTTAAGGGCACTTGCTAAATCCCAAAACAGTGTTTTCCTCTTCATTGAATGCTGTTTTTTATGTCCAAAGCATTCATATTGTTGTTTTTTCAAAAAAACTGAGATTATATGTGTGCATCAATCCCAATTTTTTAATTGCTATTTAACCAAATGTGTTGTCAAAGTGGAGTGGTGTTTTATATCACTTTTGGCTTTCCATCCACTACGGTCAACTGAGCCATTAATACTGTATGTCCACCATTAGCCTCTCTGGCAAGCCCTTTGTACGTATCGACAATCATCTGTCCATTAACGTGTAGTTCTAATTAATAATGACATGCAGGATAAACAATGCATCCAACAACATAACTTGGAGTGGGGCTCATGCATATTTCTTCATAAGGCTGTCCATTAATTACTGAGCCCCTACATTTTAGGGAATTTTATGTATGTAGCTGACTGCAAGGGAAGGAAACAACCAGGAGATTACTGATCCTTTGAGAGAAGCAAAAGGCACAGGCATCTGTCCTTCTGCTATTGTTTAACTCTAATGCAGTTCTATAAACAAATCTATATATTGTGCAACAAAAAGGTTTCTGATTAACAAGCAATTAACAATCAATTAAAAAAGATAGTAACATATGATTACTCATACAAAGTCTACAGAAAAACTGACTTTATTTAGTCCACTATTGCAGTTTGTTTATATTTTTATTTATTTTCTATTTGTATTACACTTTGGCTTATGCTTTGGTCATTGTATGTTTAAGATGACAAAAGTTACATTAAAAAATGTTTATCAATTTGTAGATCTGCTTATATTACAGCAGATGTCAGCAAATGGTCATTTAATCCTAAACTAACATGATTTTAAATTTCAACCCTAGTCAGAAGTTGATTTTCAAATGTCTGTTTAGCACCAACAGACTGAGATGAAAGAGGGAAAAATAAAAACAAGAGAGTTTTAGAAAATCTGAACCCCTTCAAGATCAGAAAAGACATGAATCCAAATAGTAGACATCTACTCGTCTAGAAGCATTTTGGAAATAGGATTTTCAGTCCAGGCCAAGTGTCCTTCACTAAAGACATGGAAGAAATGTCCACTCAAATTAAATGGCTTTGCGACATACTTGCTCAGCATTAAAATAGAAAATCCTTTTCTATACAGAGGTGTGACAGCATGTGTGGTGGCCCCACTCCCTTTCTCTCTTTCTATGAAGCATTGTTTTATCTACATAATCTATGAAAAAAAATCTAATAAAACATAAACAGACATGGTATTTTTCCCCCTATATTTCCTATTATCCTTCAATTAATACTTTGATAGTATAACATAAATCATATCTCTACGGAAGAAAATTAGGGCCACTGGAAAAAAAAAGAAATGTTAACTGATTTTTTAATTGTATCTATGTTTAATATGGAAAAAAAAGTCAGAATTCTGAGAAAAAAGTCAGAACTCAGATTTTTTGCATATTAATCTCAAATAAAATAAAAAAAACAGTTAATTTTTTTCATTTATTCAGTGGCCCTAATCCTCTTTCATATATCTCAGTTTTCCCATATTGCATCTTAAGTTTGTTTCCCATAGGTCAGAGTCACAATGCTTAAACAAATAAAGTTTCTCTTATGTAGAAGTCAGGTTACTGCGCTGAAACTAGGTGGGACGGCTATAAAAAGGTATAGGTAAAGGTTTGTGCATGTGCATGTGCATGTGCGGAGAGTGCAGGTCTTTTCAAAAATTCACAATAAATCCTCCACTATACCTTTAACAAATACATTATTTCTTTACTGTTTACTTCATGCACATGTATATGTGTTCAACTTCAAGCAATAAGGTATTTATCTCATTTTGATCCAAAGTAAATGCTTCTCCAGTGAAGTTGTGTAATCAGAGTATCACAGGTAGATGCAATGATTCTATAAAGTATAAATCTATAGCTGCCAACATAATGGCCATCATGTTTTTTTTGTTGTTTTTTTTCAAAATCAAGAAAGGCTAGCCTGTTTTACTTTGTGTTATCAACATACCATTTCCATGAAGTGTAATTATGTTGATCTGTTCATATTCAGGAGTCATTGTGGCACAGGCGGCCTGACAAACTTCTATACATCCACAAAACTGTCTTTGATTATATTTAGTCTTTCATGAAGACAAAAGAAGACAAAGTGTTTTATGGCTTCATAGCTGACCTCCTGCAACCAAGCAGTCAAGGACTTAAGATATGAAGAGCCAACCTGAAGTAAAAGTGGCATGTGGAGCTTATGAGAGCAGCATGAAAAAAAAAAAAGTCATATTTTTGTTGTCTAGTGAATTTTTTCACATTTGTTTCTGACGTTTAGTGGCAATAGCTAAGTATGGGTTTTCCTGTCAGGCGTTATGATGGTATAGCCTCTGTTGCTTATCTCTGTGCACTACCCAAATAGTCATAGATATCTTTTGCTCTACTTCAGCGTAACATTTGTAGTAAAAGTGAAAGCTATAACTTGTAAAACTGTATTCCTGACTCACAGCAGCAGATTCCAGCAGCTGTATAACTAATTTGTAGAAGTGCTAAGAAAGAAAATACATAATAAAAAAAAAGAGCATTTTAATAAAGGTGTTTGTATTTTATATACTTGTACACCGTTTGTTTTAGATCAACTGGCAAAACTGGGAGTGCAAGAAATGTTTCATGTATTACTAACAGAACACAATTTCTGTACTTGTACACCAGAATTTGAAGAGGTGTAACTTTTTTTTGTAATCGTAAAACATAGAACATAATATACAGCTATAAAATCTCCAAATATACAGTGCAAATATACTTTTGGACCAGCTGGTGCAAAACTGAGAATTTAAGAGGATTTTGATTTGTGGATCACAGAACACAGTTTGTGTACTTGAACACAGCATTTTGAAGTTATGTAACTTTTTTGCAATTTTAGACAAAAAAAAAAAAACAAAAACATTTTATATCTCTCTACTACCTCAAATTCACAATAACAATGCACAAATATATGATTCAAAATTACCTTCATATTAGTTTGGTTTGAGCAAAACTAAAGGCGAAAAATAACAAATACTGTCACAATGAAGGTGGTTTGACAGGATCCAATGCAGACAAAAGCTTGAGTGGGTTAGTTGAATGTTTTATATATATATATATATATATATATATATATATATAAAAGGGTAATAGAAGCAAAAATCTAAAAAGCTGAAAACCAAGAATACTCAGAACAAGAAGGGGACAAACTAATGACGACAAACCAGCAAAGAGTGACTGAACAGGAGGAGAATATATGGGAGAGAGAAACAAAGACCAGGCTAATTGGCAGATTGGGAGCAGGTGTGAACAGAGGCAAGAAGGGAGCTAGGGAAAAGGAGACTGACACAAAAGGGCAAACAGGAAATATCCAAGAACTCAAATACAATCAAAAATACCTAGAACACAAGAATCGAAATAAGACCAATGAAAACTCAAAATAAAACTAGAACAAGACCAAAACCATGACAAATACCGTGCCAGAAGGACGCCGTAATTTATATATATGTAATTTTTAAATATATGGAATTATACTTTTAATCTCAATATTTATATATATATTTAATTTAAATGTTGAATTTAAATCTCGACAAGTTATTAAACAACAACAGGATTTTAAAAAGACATATATATCTTAAATAAGTAGCCTATGTATGTTAAATCTAAATCCTAAAACTATACGTAAGCCTATATAGAGAGACAGATAAATATTAAATCTTAAATCTAAAAATATATATTATAACACTAATTTAAATATTTATTTCAGACTTCAAACTTTAGAAGATATGCTAGTAGACCACTCCGCTCTACCACTGTAGCCATAACCTATATTAAACATATACTTTTAAATACTTGTACATACATTTAAAATTAGCATATAAATTACAGTAAATTAAACATATACAGTAGGCAGCAATTAGATATATTAACATTCATATTTTGCAGTTTACCCCTAAACGTTACAATAAAAGCACTAAATGTGAAGGAAATGAGCTAAGTGACAGATATGTGACAGTTTTCTGTTGTTATTGTTAATTCTACATTCAGCACAACAAAGTTTAACTAAATAAGAACTCCTCTATGTCTGATAAAAGCCAGAGGCTTTGGAAACTGTTCCATACAAACTGTTCCCAGAGAAGGAAGTTACAGTTGAATCCATGCAAGAGATGAGTGATTGTGTAACGTGTCACGGGGCAAGATAAGTTCACCTGATAGGTGCGCACATGAAATAACACCTGTTCTCATTATTTGGATCATTTACTGCACAGAGCCATTCAGTGAGATAAGTGTGCGTCTGCGAGCTCCCAGAGAACGCGTTTTTTATTTAAACACACTAAAGCTACCAATGGCTGCAAGACATCGAGGCCCCTCGGGGAAAAAAGCTGAACACCAGCATGGGAGCAGCTCCAAAACATCTGACAGGAGGCACTTTGCCGCCCTGGTTCTGGCTAGAGGGGGGAGCAAAGGGATCCCACTGAAGAACATCAAGATACTGGCTGGGGTCCCCCTCCTTGGATGGGTGCTGAGAGCTGCCACTGACTCAGAGATGTTTGACAGGTAAAATGAATTCACAATGCCATCATTCATTGTTGCTTTAGAAAAGTTATTCAATAAATACAGAGATATAACTAATTAACTATAATCGAGTTTGTGTCAAACCCATTCCTGGTTTAATTGACAGGAACTTGAGTAAAGTATAAACTTCCATAATATTTTTTCAATGTTTACTTGCTTTAGTGCTCTTTGTTCAATATGACTAGTTGATATGGCGTGTTTTTTTTTTCATTTTTGTGCCGCCAACCTGAGCGCACGGTTGGTTGCACGAGAAAAAGAAGAAAAAAGAAACGCAGCAGACACCTGCATAAAAAAAAAAGGAAATCGATCTTCAAGTCCACATACAAAATGAGCAGCTATTCTCCAAAGGTGACAGTTTTGTGCAGAGATGGGAGTGGCTTCTTGAAGATGTTCTTTCTTTCTTTCTTTCTTCTCGTGCGTGTTTTGCTTTCTGTGTGCGCTCTACTATCTGTGCGCACGCCCCTTTGTTCCACCTTCCTCTCTGACTGATCCCTTCCCACATGGCCTCTCTGCCCTCATGACTTGTTTAAATCTATGTAAATAAATCAAAACGTCTGGAAACTTAGACAAATACCCAAAGCTGTTTTTTTGGCCATAATGAGAAAGGAAACAACAAAAAGACTTGATGATAAAATGAAATTGTCCTCATGTAATTAGGGCGATACAATTTCATTCAATTTAGGTTAACCAAACTCATTCATTGTAATCATGTCACTTTAAAATTAATACAAATTTGGGCAAATTATTATTGTTTATAGCAGTTTTTGAGAGTGGCCCCAGGGTGCTTAAAGAAGTGACATGTTTTTTCATATCCTGTGTGGGCACAAAGCAGTTTTGTCAGTTGCCTAAAAGAACAAATACCAGCTGTACTTTATAATATAGTTTTAAATTACGTTTATTTACTACAGTGTAAAAACAATAAAGAAGTTTGGCTCCTGAGTATTACTTAATTGCATGATGTAAATATTAATTTGAAATGTGATGAGTTGTCTGATTTATTCGAATGTATAGCTTTAGTGGCCACCTTAGGGTGTGAACCACAGCTAATTCTACCTGACATGATAACAACTGAATACAACTCTTTGATTTATATATTACAAATAAATACAAAAAATGCTAAAAAAAGAGACTTTTTGAAG